AAAAATCTGTCATATTAGAGTTTTATATGATACCACATATAGTTTTGATTTACATAGTGTACCGAACACCCCAATGTTGCATGATCAATCCTGTAAAGTATACGGTGATCTCTCAAATCCGATAATCGAAAACATAATAAATCATTGAATTTATATAGCGGATGCATCTATAAAATAAACTTGCCATTGAAATAAAGTGCCTATAAAGTGATTGTTGGTGAAATTATATAAATAAAAAATTACATAATAACTTCTGTGCATTTTTAAATTTTAAACATCGCAAAATGTAGCATGTTAGAGAGTTGACCCGTGTGGGATTTCTATGGATTTTTTTAAATATTTTCATGGAAAGTACGATAATTTGCTTAATTAGTCGTGATTAATTGCAATCAGGTGAATTTGAGTTACTAATCAAATATATACAGTTGACCCTCTCAAAATCGGTATGCATGGTGGACAGGTTTTGTATCAGTTTTGAGAAGTTATTGGATTTGAAAATATACAAACTGTTAGACTAATATAATGGGAACGGACTTGTTAGATAAATTTTTTATCATATTTGGCAGGTTATCGGTTTTGACAGGATCGGTCTACTGTAACTGAATACATTAGAGATTTTTTTTTGCATTTACAAATTTGTATCCGGGTTATATCTCTATAGCGTGCAACATCGCTTGCATAATGCATACTGCGAATCTTTAATCAGCAGACCTCCAATAAACCTAAAAGAAATAACAAATTTAAATCATATACTTTAAAAAAATATTATTACGTACACGTAAATAGCGGTAAAAGGGCAAGTATTACGTTATGTAGTGAATAATAAATTTCTATATTCATAAGTCAGAAATTTAAAAAACATTTGCAAATCAAAAAAGGAAAAAGGATTCCTTTTAAAGATATTTTTCATTTTTAGCTAATGCATAAAAATGCTAGAATTGGTTTCTTTCATTCTTGTAATAAAATAATATCTTAGTAAATAAAAAAAATGTTAAATGACTTATTTCGAACAGCACGCGAAACTGATCCGAAGTCAGTTATAAAGTGTCAACGTTTCGTTATTATAGTATTCTTAATAATAGTATTTATTATTTTTGTTATATTTTGCGTCGAGTTAGGTTACGGACAACCTAATATTAGTATATCCTTCAAGCAGCCTGATTATTTGCCATTGCCAAGTAAGAATTGTTAAGTCAACTAATAAAAATAACTATCAGATAATATATATATATAACTTTAAATCAATATAGACATTCATTTTCGTAATAAACATAACTCTACTATTGACTGTGATTCTACTTTGGCGGGTATGTATTTTGATTATTTTTTATAATATATTTCACATAATACACATGACATATCTAACTCAAATTATTTTAGATTATAAGTCTTGTTCTAGCTTTATCAATAAAACTACACATATTGCTTCTTCAAATTCAGTTGGCCGTCCTTTTCATGGATCATTTTTGCCAAAACTTAAACTAATTCCTTATAATGGGATCTCCCTTTTTGAGCTTAATATCTATATCACAGATCCTGGATATAACGCTTCCTATCAAGAAAGTGCCATGCTAATGGAGGCATATGATAGAGGCAAGATTCTTATAAGATCGTAGCATTTTGACTACTTTTAGGTGTTTAAATATTGATAATATGGAAAATAAATAAATTATTTAGAATATGGTCCGTCTAAATTTAATAAATCACCAACTCCGTTTGATGAATCACTTTATTATAAAAATTCTTATTACTTATCTCAACCTCAAAATGACAGAAATGTATGTACACACAATAATTCTAAAGAGTGATAATTTTGCTAATTAATTTAAACATTTGTAGGTTGTGAGGGGCTAAATCGATCCTTAGTATCGAAATATAGGCCTCTCGGATATCCACTAAGGCGAAATCAATCCGAATCAACACACTAACCACCAAATTGTGTCCAACCCTATCTGGACCCTAATGGTGGAAGGCACGAAAGAGGGCGTGGAAAGACTTGGTCCGAGTTATTAGGGCCAAATAGAGCTCTAGACTACGTCACGAAGCTCTAATTCGGGATCACGGGATTACGAGATAGTTTATTATCGGGAAATGGGGAAAACGAATGTGTGAATTATATGCGATGACTTTAATTAAAGCTCAATACTGAGATGTCTTTATTCACAGCAAACTCTTGGTCCTTATATACAACTTTCGGCTGTACTATGATTCGCTATTTCTATCTAACATATATGACCTATCTAACCTATATAACTTATCTATCGTATATAACATATATGTCATATCAAACAGATATAACATATCTAACCTATCCAACATATCTGACGGATCCCATATCTGACATATCTGACAGATATGACAGATATCCAGAAGATTCGACCTGAGCCACCTCAGCGACGATCTTTGACTATAATAAGTCAATCTGGCAAATTTAGATGCATCCGACTCCCAAATGGAAGAAAAATCGATCCCAAGCCACAAATTACCCTTTCACAATGTATATCATTGGAAGTTTAATAGAGTTATCAAGTATTCAATAGATCCGTCCGATATTTTAAGTTACTTTGGTTTCCCACCGAAATACGATACGCAACCATATATTGAACCAAGTATACGTAAGAGTGCTTATATTACATTGAAAAATTTTCAAAGTTTATCTTTGTACTAAGATTATTTATGTCATTAATTATAGAAAATTCCCCATTTCCGAAAACATTAGATAATAATACAACTTTTTCATCTAAGAGTAAGAATATTTCATTAAAAATTGTTTATTATTCACTTTAGTTTCTAAATATCTGTTTGTTAATAACTACAGAGTCTAAGCAATATTATGCAATGATACGAGTTGTCCCTGATCCTGATATTTACGTAAGGGAAGAAAAAGAACAAAGGTGAACTATTCTAAATAATTCTTCATGTTAATGTTTTATCAACTCTTATTAACAGGTTTACAAATAATAATAGGAGCAAATCTGTAAGTAGAGATATTATGTATTAACCCTTTACAAACAAAAATAGACACTTACTATTATTCTTTGATTAAGTAGATTTTAAGTTTATTAGGTATTATTGGCGGTATTTGGAGTTTCATATCAGCTTTTTATGAATATTTATTTGGTAAGTCCACCTTTTAAATCAAGTTATTGTTGAATAATTACTTCTTTTTTAACACAAATTATTAGGTCTTGGTTTAATTTCTCCATGGGGTATAGTACAAAAATCGAGACTATTCAAGAAAAAACTCTTACCAGTTGCGGCAGATTTACAATCTGATGAACCTGATATTGAAGATAAATCTATCACCAAAGAATATGAGATTTCCTCAATAAAAAAACGACTTGATAATTTAGAAAATGTTATCGATATCTCATTATTAAGTTGACAATAGTAGCTCTCCTTAATGTGGAATAACGACGAAAAGAATAGATATAATAAATGAAGTCAAAATCTTTAGATATTTTATATTGTACTTTAAATAGCACATAAATCAAGCAGAGAGAAAACACTTTATTTGATCTATACACTAATATTATCATAATTGCACGAGATGTCAATCAAAGTGTAAATTTTTTTTATAAACTAGCACTTATTTTAGTAAGTTTATTTATTCGTACAATTTACTTAACACTGATATTGTAGTTATTTACATCATATTAAAAAATATTCTATAAAACTTTGATCTTACGTATCTATCTTCCTATATAACTACTCAGTACTCTTTTTTTTCTTGTACCCGTTTGAGTTGGTAAATTTGAAAATTGTATTATTATACCAAAACGAAGTGAAATGAAGTGTATGGTGTTATTAATATTAAAATAGTGTATGCAAATAGTTCGTGAGATGTAATTAAAAAAAGATTAACATATTCACTTATTAAATAAAAATGCAATATTGGAACGGATGCAACAGTAGATTATAGTCAGTATTCTAATTTTTATAACTGATAAACTATTTCTATATTGACCTAACTTTAGCATTCATATAAGCATATAGCTGTCATTCGAAATATGACATATGCCATAATTACATAGTGGTTTATATAGTAAGCTACTACGTAAGTTACTTAGCCTACATAAACCTTTGCGAGTTCCTAAGTAGGATATCTTATATTTTTTACTTGAGTACGCAATGTCAACTTAAAGGATCTGTTATAAATTATGTGAATTTCAAACGTAGGCCTCTTCTGCCATGATTAACTCAAATCTTGTAAGTTATATTACCGAAAAAATAATTTCGTATTTCACTATTTCCGTAGTAATGTTATATTTTTCCATATTGTAATATTTCCGTCTAGCCATAATGGTTATTAGTAGGGTTGTTAATGGAGCACTCCAGTCAATAGTAAAACATATAACCCACTCCGGAGTACTCCAGAAGTGGGTTATATGTTTTATTAATGTCTGGAGTACTCCATTAACAACCCTAGTTATTAGCTTTCTATTTAAATTGATTAATTAATTTTAGAAACAAGTGCGTTTATATTTATTATCTCAATGACTTGTTATTTTGAGCTGATGTTCATAGAATGATGTTGACTAAAAATTTCGTTAGGAACAAGTTCTTCTTTTTTCCTTGGAATAATAAAACAAATAATTTTGTAATAGTGTCGTACCCAAATTCTAGTTTGAATCTTCCAAAAGCTATAGATATATACGTTAATAATCAGTAATAATAACGCATCAATGATTATATTAGCCAATACACAAGGACAGTTGAAGTTAAAATAACAAATGCCTCTTTTATCTGGTTTTATAGTTCAAAATTCAAAATCTGCACTTTTGATGAATTAAGTTATACTTCGAATGCTAAATTCTTAAAGAAATTAGTAAATATAAACCCAAGGTCTTTATGAATAATATTAGCATGCAAAAATAAAAAACATAATGCACTTTCTTTAATACATATCCTTATCTATCCATTGTAACCTTAGTAAATTGTAAACTGAGTTATAATATTTTCCGTACTATATATTAGATAAATGTTTTCATTTTATATAATAAGTTTATATTTATCAAAAAAATTATAAATTGCATATTTATTGTAGAATATAATAATATTGATAATCTGCCCTTAATAATAGCTTAGCTTTTATTGCTTTACTATAGAAATTTAGTATTATAGCAGGAAGTAATGTAATAGCAATCAGATCTCTAAAGCGGATAGATGTGGTCTAGTAGTAATTTTTTAATTACTATTTTAATTTTTCATTACGCCCTTCCCAATTCTTATTAAAGTAAATAATACGGAAAGTACATTAACCATGTTAATCTTGTAAATGAATTCCAACATCATCTACTGTATACAATGCCACAATTCACATTTCACTATTGAAATGGGATTTTTGAATATAAATATCGATACGTTTTACAATACTTTTTTCGGAAGCTCGGGTAGATTATAACCCTGGTAAAGGTGGCTAAGTGTACTAAGTAAACTAGAAGCTTTCGCTCCGCCCTACAAAATATTCGCTGAATCAATCTGAATCCACCAGCTTTCGTAATATGATCTTCCCACCGAAGTTATAAGAAATTTAAGAAGCTTTTAAGTTACTACATCGTCAAAATTTCGGTTGTTCAGAAAAAAGTGAAGAACGTTTAAACGACAATTTAGCAAAGATAAATTAGTGAAAAATATATAGAAATACTGTATTTAAAAAAAAATTAAATACATTTTTTTGCTGATTTTAGATAACTGAATGCTTTATTCTCATTTTTTCATTCTCATGGCAATAACCGTATGAATATTTCATAAATTACATCTGATGACTGTTTTTTAGTTAACATTTTAGATGTAGTGAAAAAAAATTTTCGTTGAGTAAAAGTTTATTTATCAACAAGTATAAACACAACGACATCCAAATCTATCAAGATATTATTTTTGCCGCCTCAGCAAAAACAAACATAGAATCAAATGGTATTTACATATAATCACATTCCATTAAAAGAGCAAAGAGGGGTATACACAGTCACACGAGAGAAGTTGGCATAAACACAGCACGTAAATATTTGCAATTTTTTGGCATAGAATTCTGTTAGACAGGAAAAAAAAAGTACAAACCAACCAAAGTACGATTAAATTTTTTTGGGGCAATATCTGGTACATCACGAAGTTGTTTTTACATAGAGTTACGTAGAATTTTTATGTAGAGTTACGTAGAATTTTTATGCAGCTTTATGAACCCAATGTAGATTTACATAGATATCTATGTATAAATCTATGTAGAGTTATGTAAAATTTCGAAAAAATTTCAACTTAAATATTAAAGCTAGAAATGGAT